TTTTGTTTTGCGGCTGTTTTTGTAGTTCGTTTATAGTATTGACTAGTGCAAATGTTTTGTATCCTTCGAATAGGAATGGCCACATTCATCCTATCCTCCTTGGGCCCATGGGCCGGGCTACATAATCTCCCAAGACATTGCAAGATTTATAGTTCAAGGCCACAAAGAGAGGGATCTCACGGTAAAAGTTCTTACTTACGAGCAGCCTCTTAAGTCTACTTCCTTTGTAAAACTTTAGTCAACAAAATGAAAGTATTGTTCGATCGAGTTAATAAAATAGCGAATTATTACTGTTCTCGGGCCTACATTGTTAGCTGTTCAAGTTGGAAGATGTTGCTGTGGGTATATGGATCAACCAATATGAAACGAGGGGGCAAAAAATCGAATACTTGAACGATGATCGGTTTTACGATGCGGGATGTGATACGGATTATATGTTGGCCCATTACCAAAATCCAAGGATGATGCTTTGCCTGTGGGAAAAATTGCAGAAAGAGCATAAAGCTGAATGCTGTGAATGAGGCCACCCTACAAAAAACTTGTACTTTTTTAGTTTTTTTGATCACTTTTAATCTATTTATTTATTTTTTTAGATTTAATTTATGTTTAGGAAATAGAATTTTAATCATGCCTTGCACCATACAAATTTTTTTTTTTTAATTTTTTTTTTTAAATTGTAAAAAAGACTTATTGGTGAAGGTTCAGATTTTGAATTTTTATGGCTTTGGCAAGGAACTATGAAAAGCTTGGATGCAAAACAATTATGTCAGTCCAGTTCAGATTTTCATTGGGAGCATTTTATTTTATTTTTTACATTTTAAGTAGGTTGATCGGTCAAACATAATTTTAACAAAAAAAATTTGGAAAAATAATCATGAACAGTAACTAAATAAGCTATAAGTCATGTATGAGGCACATAATAAATCATTATAATATATACATACATGTATCCATGCAGAATTTTTAAGGCATAATTACCAAATTTCAGTATTTTATAGTTTTATGCATCATTTTTTTTGTGATCCGGATCAATCTAGAGTATATTTCATATTTGTTACAGTTTTTAAAATTATAATACACTTCACTTATGTAATTTATAAATATATTTTTCAAACCAAATAAATTTTTATTTGTTATACTTTTTTCATATATTATGTATTAAATTGATTATCTTTTGATGATATTTGATTTGATATCCATATTGCATACATAAAATAAAAATACTTTTTTTATATATAAAAGTTAAACTTTTGATCAATATTAATTGAAATTGATAAAATTATTATATCTAAATTACAATAAATTGTCTAATATACTCTATTACATGATAGAAGTTACAAAAAATATTACTATAATATAAGAGGAGACAATTTTTATGGGCAAAG